GAAAAAAAAAAAAAAAAAAAAAATTTTCTGATACGCACACAAAATTGCCATTAAAACATTGGAAAGAAGGTAGCCAATTCAATTTTCTATAGAAGAAACTAGAAAGAAAAAAAAAGGGGGGGGGCATTTTTTATTGAAATTAAGCTTTAGTAATATATTCAACATGTCACATACTTGTATATGTAAGGTATTTAGACCCATTTATTTATATAGTTGAATGTGTTATGAAAATACTTTACATAAGACCTTTATTCTTCATAATATCACTTCAGAAAATAAAAAATAACTTCCATTTATGAAAGTGCTAAAGATTAGTGAAGAATATACAAGGACACAAGCTTTATTAGTACTTTATTAATGTAAACATCTCACAATATCACAACTGTAAACCTGGAACAAAGGAAGTATAGCCTACTAGGTGTACTTACATAATTTGTAAACCATTTTTGATATTTTTGTCATCCAGTATTGTTCAAAGTCACATAGCTAGAGTAATCTTTCAAGCATGCAGAATAAATTTCTCTTATATCCCTATTTTTGAAACTTATGTTTTATATGAGAAGCCAGTCACTTGTGGTGTACATGGATTATAAAACAGATTGATAAAATACTACTTAAGTTTACAAATAACAAATTTTATTAGTTTACAAAACTGTACATATACTTAACTAGATCTTGTACAGGTAGTATTCCGGTATTCATGGTTATATTATATGAACCTTTCATGCTTTTGCTGCTGCAAATGCATCAATTAAACTATCAAAATTTAAGGTATTAAGTAAGTCTTTTTCAATACTTAATATTGCCAAGTTACTAAGTCGTTCTTGTATCATTGAGGTTCTCAAGTACGTAAGAGTTAATTTCAGATTGCTGAAGGACCTTTCACAACTAGCAATAGAAACCCCAATTGTTCACAAAATCTGCAATGCAATTCTTTAATTTGGGAAAACATCTTCACCATACGAAATTATAAATGTTTGCAAATCAGTTGCAACCATTGGTTCA